TTTTCAATGTTGTGCTCCAAGCACACGCGGACTAGTAAACAGCCAATCAGAGAGAGAGAAGGCGGAACTTAAGGCAGAACAACCAATGAGAGTTGAGTTAAACAGCGCAGCACAGTTCCATGCGCTGCTACATGAAAGGGACAGGAGAGACCAGGCAGAGGAGCTGAGAGAGGAAAAGAAGCCACTGCTGCAACAACTACTGCTGTAAATTATAAACATGTTGCTCACATCCAATTATTGGTAGGGACAATTAGGTCGGTTCAAAATTTTGGTAGGGACATGTCCCTATGGTCCCTATGCAAACCTACGCCCATGCTTTACAGAGACAATCGGTCTGCGCCAGGTGACGTCAATGTTTACCTCGGGCGCGCTGCATCGTGGGAAAACCACCATAATAGGTGGAAAGTCGAGATAACCCACACGCGGCTGTTCTTTCGGCACAATTATTTACCAGAAACGACACGATCGTGTTGTGTGAGAGGCTGCCAGTCCCGGTGTCGTGCCAAGGTAGTTATCCCTGCGAAAATTTGTATCCCCTCGTCGGGAGCGCGCACGGAGTAGGAAGAACAGCCCGACTTAACTCCGCTTCAATTCCAACGTGCAGAACTTGAAATTTGAAAGGTTTTACGTGTATGAAAGTTGAGCTTTACTGTTTTATTCTTTACTTCACATGTTATAGCAGAATATCGCCAGTGATATTGATTTAAAACTAATACTAAAACACAAACGTTTGCTTGAAAGCTGGTCGCTGACAGCAGTGTCTACTCCTCCCTCTGAAAGCAAACAGATCCTTGTTCTTTTCCATACGTTTATTAAAAAAATCTCTCATTGTTTCACAGTGTCCAAATGTTCTCATCCCATTGAAAACTGTTGTAAACCATATACTTGTAATAAAAATGAAATAGAAAATGGAGTGCACGTGTAATCATTAAAGACTACATGCAGAAGGAAATATTTTTTTCCTGGTTGAAATTTAGTACTTAAATCTATATCTGTGTTTATAGTAACGTACAATTTATCTATGTGTTACTATCCTTAATAAACAGTTTGTCTTCTAACATCAGCCGTTTTATTTCATCCCATTTTGCCAGAACTGGCAATATGGGATGAAATAAAACCTGCTGTAATCTGTTCCCCCTGTCTAAATCAGGCAAAAAAGGCCCCATCTTTTTTATTTTTGGCTTTTAAACATCTTTTATGATGACAACTAACTCCTGAAACTTTGGAGTTGATTGACCTTTATTTCTTAAAGTTATAAGGGGGGAACAAATTATAGCAGACCACCTGCTATAATCTGTTCACCCCTGTCTAAATCAGGCCAAAAAGGTCCCAGCTTTTTCATTTTTTGCATCATAAAAGATGCTTATAAGCCAAAAATGAAAAAGCTAGGGCCTTTTTTGTCTGATTGAGACAGGGGGAACAGATTACAGCAGGTTTTATTTCATCCCATATTGCCAGTTCTGGCAAAATGGGATGAAATAAAACGGCTGATGTTAGAAGACAAACTGTTTATTAAGGATAGTAACACATAGATAAATTGTACGTTACTATAAACACAAATATAGATTTAAGTACTAAATTTCAACCAGGAAAAAAATATTTCCTTCTGCATATAGTCTTTAATGATTACACGTGCACTCCATTTTCTATTTCATTTTTATTACAAGTATACGGTTTACAACAGTTTTCAATGGGATGAGAACATTTGGACACTGTGAAACAATGAGAGATTTTTTTAATGAACGTATGGAAAAGAACAAGGATCTGTTTGCTTTCAGAGGAAGGAGTAGACACTGCTGTCAGCGACCAGCTTTCAAGCAAACGTTTGTTTTATAATCAGTTTTAAATCAATATCACTGGCGATATTCTGCTATAACACGTGAAGTAAAGAATAAAACAGTAAAGCTCAACTTTCATACACGTAAAACCTTTCAAATTTCAAGTTCTGCACGTTGGAATTGAAGCGGAGTTAACTCGGGTTGTTCTTCCTACTCCGTGCGCGCTCCCGACGAGGGGATACAAATTTTCGCAGGGATAACTACCTTGACACGACACCTGTCCAGTAATTTCGCATTCTGCTTTCTTTTTTCCATATAGTCAGAGAAACAAACTCAATCCTTTAGTCCTTCGTTTAGCTATGCTGCGGTTGTTTACACTACGCCTTTTCCACCAAAAATGGCGTCTTAGCAACAGATGTCACGTGACTGGCGGAGACCGATTCCACCAGATCATACAGTCAGATTAGTTCAAAGTTTTCTATCCAAGGAAAACCATCTGACTGCATCGACTCGACAGCAATCCCTCACACCAAGCATGCTTGTAGCGACGGCGGACAGGAAAAACTCCCTTTTAACAGGAAGAAACCTCCAGCAGAACCAGGCTGAGTGTGAGCTCTGAGCCAGCTCCCATGTCCGAGGATGAAGAGAGCGCAGCTAGTAAGATCAAGTTGTTAGGAAAGCTATGAGTTATTGAAACACTGATATTCCCTTTATGAGGAGTAAAGTCATTTTGAATTGAATTGAACAACAGTGAGTTGAAGATGTTAAAAGCTGTTGGCATGAAGGATCTTCTGTGCAGATCAAATTCTCATCAACAGCCCAGTATGTCTGAAGATATGCAGCAGCTTTCTTTAGAAAGTCCAGTCTGCTCTGTTCCTTCTTGCAGATTGCCTCACAATTGTGTCTGTTGTCCAGATAGACGCTGAGGTATTTATAATCCTCCACCAACTTCATGCTTATTCAGAAATGCTACCGTAAAAAAACGTATAAACGAGTGCAGACCTCCGCCAAGCAGCAAATTCTGCCACAAATAGTGACTTAGACCTTTAGCTAAAACTTGCACATGACCTGGATCATTACTACATTTAAATTAATTGTTCCTTTTCATGAGGTGCACCTAAAAATGTTCTTTTATCAAAAAAGCCAAAAAAAAGGGTCCCAAAGAGATCCCTGAGGAACACCTTTGGCTACTATAAGAGGTGCCGATGGACTGTTTTACACTCTGGCAGATGATTTCATAACTATTTTATTAGGTATGCACGATATTGGGATTTTGGCCGATATCCGATGTGCCGATATTTTAAAACTCATGTAGCCGATAACCGATATCGATACCGATGTTAAAGCTGGACAAAAATAAGTAGTCATTGAAAATAGCAGTTTTGTTATCCATTTCTGACACTTTGAAAAATAATATACTCAAATATATTTTCATATGCTGATTTCAAATTGATTTTTAAAAACGCGGTATCGATCTATTTTACTTTCAAAATCTCGTGAAATTTCATCATTCTGTTACAAACTTGTGATATTTTGCAAATTCTTGTGAGATTTTGTTAGTAAAATAGATCGATGCCGCGTCAATATATCAACATATAAAAATATGGCAACATTTCGTGAATTTTCAGGGGATTTCATAGCATAATGATGACATATAGCAATATTTCATTAGTAAAACAGATTGATATGGTGTTTTTAAATGGCAATATATCAGCATATGAAGATATTGTGATATTTTAATGTATCAATATTTTTTCCCTCGTCTTTAGAAGTTTTTAAGTCTGTAAAAAAGTTTTTGAGGAAGAAGAAGAAGTAGTATTCTTTTTTTTTAGACTTTAGAAACTCAGAAGCCGATATTCAGTTTTAAGGCCGATACAGGCCGATACCGATAGGGGGCCGATTATATCGTCCATCCCTATATTTTCTAGAGGAACATCCCTTTCTAATAGAGCTTTCTGATCTTTAGAAACAAATGCTTCAGTTAAAACATCAAACTGCACTGAGCTGATGGCATCATTTGTTGTTTAAGTGGTTCCATTACATCTATTAAACATGTGGAGATCAGAAAACCTGCTTTAGGAGGCCTTTAACCCTTAATAGGACAAGTTACCATTTTTGATCACTTGCATACCCATTACAAATGGCAACCCACCACTTATTTTGGCGTTTGACCAATTAGATGAGCCCTTGAATGATATCTTACCTACTGTAAATGAAGTTGGAAAAAAGTTAAGAAATCAAGAAGAAAAAGGTAAAAAGCTGATTGAAAAGTTAAAAAAATTCCTAGTTGAAAACTATATTTAGGTTTATAAACTAAAAAAGTACCAGTATCAGGATTAATGTCTCTAAGGTTATGTTGGACCAAAAAAATTTGTTTCTTTCACTTTCAGAGTGTTTTTCATCAATTTCTTATAGAAGCACTTTTGTTATTTTTCTTAATATATTCAGACAAGTTGGCGTTTCTTGTTATTACATTGACTTTCACTTTTGACATGAAAACATATATTTTTTTAATGTTTCAAAGGTAATAAGGTCTTGTCCTGGATTCTAATAGCACTATTGGCTTGAAATTTTGATTTTCTAAGTATTTGACTAAGTGCCCTATAAAAGGTTAGGAAATAATTTCCATACTTTAGCCCCTCAGACAGTCTGATTGTAAAATAATTGTTTACATCCATCGGGTCTGCAGCTTTAGAGCAGAATCACAGGTGACCAGCTAATTCTGCCTCAGCATCAGTTGAGATGCGTACTGAACCACTTTCCACCACCTACCGATGCATCTAATTTGTGTTTGTTTGTGTTCCCATGAGAATCGAAACCAACTCTGCTTGGTTCAGACTCAGCGGCAGACCGGAAGGAGCCTTAGCGATAACGCAGACAACCACAGAGCTCTCATTTCCTCTCTGGTGTGTCACGTGTTTCAGCAGATTCACCGCCGCTCTCCGGCTCTGCAAAGGAGCGAGAAGCTCCCAATCAGCGTGAGCAGCATGCTAGAAGCGGGGATTCTATTCCTGGAGCTGATGAAGGGCTTTCTGGGACTATTTTAGTCCAATGAAGCAGCAAAAAAAAAAAAAAAAACATCTCAACAGAGCCTTGTCATTGTGTTATTATTTGAAGCTAAAGGGAAGCGGGGTTGACCTCAAAGCTCATTTTGATCTCTAATAAGAACACATTTCAGCTAAAAAGGGAAGAAATGACAGTAAATGGACCCAAATGAATCACTTTTATTTTTACGTCTTTAGCATAAAGCTCTATGATGAATCATAGAAACATCCCAGTCTATACAATCAACGGACAAAACAGCAGAGGTTAAGCGAGAGATGACATGTTCAGCATGAACAACCCCTGGTCCCAGCTCAGAGTTTGGTCCAACCTAAACAGTTTAATCCAGTCTAAATAGTTCTGATTACAAATCTGAAATATTAAAATTGGTACAGATTTCTTCAGTGTTAGCTCAACCGATTGCCATTCAGAACTAATCAGGAGGGAAACTGGCCATCCCACTTTGCTGAACTGATTAGTACGTCTGTAAGTGGAACTCCAGCAAGTCAGAACAACCCGACGGATCAGTTCTGTGACATCTTGCGGATCATGTAGTTGAGAATCCCTCCGTGGTGGAAGTAGGTCAGCTCCACATCCGTGTCAAACCTCACGAGCACCTTGAAGGTCTTCCCCGTGTCGAGCTGCGAACGCAGGACAGAGCTCATCAGACGACATGTTCAGAACCACGTCACGGAGAATGCCACCTACGCTTACCTTCACGTCCACCATCATGCGCGGCGTGAGCAGCTCGGGGAAGAGGATGGTGTAGCGCTCCTGGCCCGTCAGCCCCAGGCTCTCAGCATTGTCTCCTGGGAGATACTCCAGAGGAATCACCCCCATTCCAACCAGGTTACTGCGGTGGATTCTTTCATAGCTCTCTGCTAGAACCGCTTTGATCCCCTACAAAAACGGAAACATTCAAAAGCACTTTCACAGAGCAGTGCAGTTTTTTTACTAGGACAAAATAATGGAGATCAGCCTCAATTTTCACAAATACACATATGATTTATACATGCAGGACAAGATCCACACACACACAGCACCATTCACACAAAGACAGAAAAAATCCACATACACAAAGTACAAGATCCACATATGCACAGCACGATTCACGCAAACACAAAAAAATCTATATACACACAGTACAAGATCCACACACACACAGCACGATTCATGCAAACACACAAGATCCACATACACACAGTACAAGATCCACACACGCACAGCATGATTCACGCCAACACACAAGATCCCCATACACACAGTACAAGATCCACATATGCACAGCACGATTCACGCAAACACAAAAAAATCTATATACACACAGTACAAGATCCACACATGCACAGCATGATTCACGCAAACACAAAAAAATCCATATACACAAAGTACAAGATCCACAACACGCACAGCACGATTCATGCAAACACACAAGATGCACATACACACAGTACAAGATCCACACCCACACAGCACGATTCACGCAAACACACAAAATCCATATACACACAGTACAAGATCCACACACACACAGCACGATTCACGCAAACACAACAAAATCCACGTATACACAGTACAAGATCCACACACACAGCACGATTCATGCAAACACACAAGATCCACATACAAACAGTACAAGATCCACATACAAACAGTACAAGATCCACACACGCACAGCATGAATTACACAAACACAAAAAAATACATATACACACAGTACAAGATCCACACACGCACAGCACGATTCTTGCAAACACACAAGATCCACATACACACAGTACAAGATCCACACACGCACAGCATGATTCACGCAAACACACAAGATCCACATACACACAGTACAAGATCCACACATGCGCAGCACGATTCACGCAAACACAAAAAAATCTATATACACACAGTACAAGATCCACACATGCACAGCATGATTCACGCAAACACAAAAAAATCCATATACACAAAGTACAAGATCCACAACACGCACAGCACGATTCACGCAAACACACAAGATCCACATACACACAGTACAAGATCCACACATGCGCAGCACGATTCACGCAAACACAAAAAAATCTATATACACACAGTACAAGATCCACACATGCACAGCATGATTCACGCAAACACAAAAAAATCCATATACACACAGTACAAGATCCACACATGCACAGCATGATTCACGCAAACACAAAAAAATCCATATACACAAAGTACAAGATCCACAACACGCACAGCACGATTCACGCAAACACACAAGATGCACATACACACAGTACAAGATCCACACACACACAGCACAATTCACGCAAACACACAAAATCCACATACACACAGTACAAGATCCACACACACAGCACGATTCATGCAAACACACAAGATCCACATACAAACAGTACAAGATCCACACACGCACAGCATGAATTACACAAACACAAAAAAATACATATACACACAGTACAAGATCCACACACGCACAGCACGATTCTTGCAAACACACAAGATCCACATACACACAGTACAAGATCCACACACGCACAGCATGATTCACGCAAACACACAAGATCCACATACACACAGTACAAGATCCACACATGCGCAGCACGATTCACGCAAACACAAAAAAAATCCAGGTACACACAGTACAAGATCCACACATGTACAGCAAGATTCACACAAACACACAAAATCCACATACACACAGTACAAGATCCACACACGCACAGCATGATTCACGCAAACACACAAGATCCACATACACACAGTACAAGATCCACACATGCGCAGCACGATTCACGCAAACACAAAAAAATCCAGGTACACACAGTACAAGATCCAGACATGTACAGCAAGACTCACGCAAACACAGAAAAAATCCACATACACAAAGTACAAGATCCACACACGCACAGCACGATTCATGCAAACACAGAAAAAATCCACACACACTAAGTACAAGATCCACACACGCACAGCATGAATTACACAAACACAAAAAAATACATATACACACAGTACAAGATCCACACACGCACAGCACGATTCATGCAAACACACAAGATCCACATACACACAGTACAAGATCCACACACGCACAGCATGATTCACGCCAACACACAAGATCCCCATACACACAGTACAAGATCCACACATGCGCAGCACGATTCACGCAAATACAAAAAATCTATATACACACAGTACAAGATCCACACATGCACAGCATGATTCACGCAAACACAAAAAAATCCATATACACAAAGTACAAGATCCACAACACGCACAGCACGATTCACTCAAACACACAAGATGCACATACACACAGTACAAGATCCACACACACACAGCACGATTCACGCAAACACACAAAATCCACATACACACAGTACAAGATCCACACACACACAGCACGATTCACGCAAACACAACAAAATCCACGTATACACAGTACAAGATCCACACACACAGCACGATTCACGCAAACACAACAAAATCCACACATGCAAATGCATTTCTTAAAAATATGATAGGGTAAGATATAGTTTATAAATAATTATCAATTATTTATAAACAATTAATAAATAATTAATGGTTTTGTACCCATTTATATATGGTTGTTGTTGTAAAGTCTTTTTCATCAAAAGGTGACACAAATAATAATACATCCATGGAACAAAGGTTAGTTTTTAAATTTCTATTCTTTATTTAGTTTTGACTTCTGATTTTCAGCTCTTTTTTAGTTTGAAATTATTTTCAGCATTTGTTAGCTAGCTTAGTTAAGTTTTTATGTGTTTTGTTTGAAAATGCTTAGTTTCAGGTTAACCTTTGCTAGTTTCAGTTTTAGTTTTTGCTTTTTATGTAATACGACTCACATTACAGTGAAAAGGCTAAAAAAGAAAAACAAAACAAAAACTAAAAACATTCTCTGTTAAATTCTGTTAGTTTTAACTGAATTTGTTTTGCCAACTCTTACCATTGCTTATACTAAACTATTACGGTTCCTATAAGTTTTTGTCTTTTTTCTGCAAGCCTAGTTTTGAGTTTAATTTCTGTTAAAGAAAATGTGTTTTAATCAGAATTTTCATCAAATCGTTAGTTTTAGTTTTAATATCTTAGCAAAAAATAGAAATATTAATTGTACTGAAACAAAAACATAGTGTTCCAAAATCTATAAATATATCATTGACACAAAAGGATTCTGCAACATCAGGAATAAGGAAACGTTGTAGTCGAAGGTAAACACGCAAACTTACGAGAACAGCATACCGAAAGTGAACTAGGCTAGTTTACTCACGCGTGATGTAATAAACTAAAAGCAGTAGTCGGAGTTAAGCAGAACTTAAAGTTAAACTGCTTTAAATAAAAAAAAAAGCCTTACTTTCTGTGTTTGCAACTTCACAACCTGACGGAACGGATAACCTGTCAGATCGTGCTTGCGCATTTGTATTATATGCTACTCTGATGCGTATGCTGGACTGACAGAACACCGAATCAAAGGACTATGCTTGTTTATGGTTTCTGCATTTATGGGGCGTCTTCTGTAGCTCACCAACAGGAAGGGGCCCTTTGCTGCCCAGTCTCTGGAGCTCCCAGATCCATACTCCTTCCCAGCCAGAACCAGCAGAGGGACACCAGACTGCTTGTACATCTCTGCAGCGTCAAACACATCAAGCTGGAGGAACACAGGAACGATCCGTCACTTCAGCAGCCAGGATTCGCTCATGAGATGTGGGAGATTAAAACTGATCAGACCGTTTTTCCGGTGGGAAAGTGGATGGTTTGAGGCGCCTGCTTTTTCAGGAATTTGTTGAAGAGGCGTATGTTAGCAAACGTCCCTCTGGCCATGACGGCGTCGTTTCCTCGGCGGGAGCCGTACGAGTTGTATTCCCTCGGGGTCACGCTGTCAAGACAAGAAGTCAGAGAGAGGCTAAATTTGGCCACCTGACCGGAAACAGCAGAAAGATTTAAGGCGTCTGGCGGAGACTGACCCCCTGTCGGAGAGGTAGCGGGCGGCGGCGCTGTTCCTGGCGATGTTGCCTGCAGGAGAGATGTGGTCGGTTGTGACAGAATCACCCAGGTTCAGCAGCACATAGGCGTCTTTAATGGACTCTGGAGGCGGCAGCTTCATGGTCTGAATATGGATGAGACCCAACAGTTTGAACAGTAAAAAAATTAAGATTATAACTCAGTTTATTACACATTCCTACTATAATATGCAGAGTAGGGGTGTAAATAATAATCGTTTTGTATCGATGCATCGATCCAAAAGCCGACGATCCGATGCATCGACACGTCCGCAAGATAATCGATTCATGTTTTTTTTTCCTCCGGTCTATTTTTATCCATTTGCTCCTGGGCGTAATTCTTCCTCCCGTGCTGCGGTGCCGCTAAACCTATTTTGCCATCCTACCGCGCTTCCTGGTTATACTCTTACAGCAGTTTGTTGCAGCAAGCTTCACACAGACATTTTTAAATTATACTCAGTATTGAAGCGTGGTCTGAGCTACACACTGTGGGTCTAGATACGGCCGAGGCGATGAGGAAGTGGGGACGAGTTTAGTCCGACGACGGAGGGACATGAGGGCAAAAAGAGCGGAGATTCAGCTGGAAAAAGGCTCCCAGCGTTCTCGCGCACCTCGCTCTTCTAGCGGGTCAAACTTCACGAGTTGTTTTCCGCAATTTCGGTCATAAAAACAAAACAAGCCGGCCTCCTGTCTGCTGCACTGTTTGCGGTCAGCTACAATCTGGGCGAGGAGCAGCGGAGCGTCTCTCAAGGGGGCAGTGACGTCAACACTCTGAAGCCTTCTTCTTCTTCTTTTTTTTTAATGGCGGTTGGCAAACAACTTATAGGTGCATTACCACCACCTTCCAGAATGGAGTATGGACCAGACAAACTATTATATTCTCCCTAAAATACCCGTTCTTCTTAGAAAATTAAAAATACTACCAAAAACGACATCCCCAGATGACCTTTGAAACAATTCCCTTATATGTAGTTTATTTTTATTCCTGTCTAACTCTCTAAGCAACATCTCTCTTTCCTGAGTATATTTATTACATTCTAAAAAAATATGTTGGACAGTTTCTCTGGAGCCGAGGTATTGCATTGAACTCATTACACTGATATTGTGCAGTATTTTTTGATGCAACTTTTCTACTTCTGTTATTTGCTGTTGTTTCTAAAGAAAATGCATAATGATATTACAGCTTTCATTGATTTATTTCAAACTTGAAACTTTGTTTAGCCTGTAAGGTGTAAAAAAAAATAATAATAAAAAAAAATAAAAAATAACCGATTAATCGATTAATCGAATCGAATCGAATCGTGGTGTATTCTTGAGTATCGAAAATAATCGAATCGTTGGGTCAGGAAATCGATACTGAATCGAATCGCCATGATGGATGTGATTTACACCCCTAATGCAGAGCAGATTTTATTCTTATTCTCTAAAAACTGAAACCTTCTTCCATTCTTTATAAACCAGCTTGATGCTGAAGGGGCAGATAGAAAATTCCTCCTCTGTAAATGATCATTTGCTGCCCCCTTCAGTTTCCTAGAGGAATTTCTTTAAGAATCTCATCCCAGACATTGACTTTCCCTGAAATTCCCTGAAATTTAATTTCCCTGCTAAAGCTACGGGGAGGGAAAACTACTGCCATGTTGCCTTTTATTCCACGATAAATAAATACATTATTTCTGGTTAGTTCATTAAAGTTAACCTTTATTTTTTAACCTTTAAAAATAAAATGTGGAGAAATCCTTTTTATTTATTTATTTTTTTACTGGAATAAAAGGCAACATGGCAGTAGGCCATATATGTATTTCTGGTTGGTACAGACTAACTGAGCAACAGCGCCCCCTGCTGTCTAATTGAGGGTGCTACACACAAGCCACAGCTCATTTTTACCAGTATGAAATTGTTGAAGGCCTAGCTTGTAAAGTTGAATTTATGACTCACAGCAGCAGATTTGTGCAGTTATATTATTTTTATTTGTTTTAAGGAAAAAAAAATTTGAAGATTTTAAAACATGCGTTTGAATAGATTTTTGCACCATTTGTTTTAGATCAACTGAAGTAATTTTTTATGTGCAACTCACATAATACAATTTGTGTACTTGTACTCAATTATGAAGACGTGTAACTTTTTCTTGTAGTTGTGACACATAAAAAAAATAAATACAATTATAAAAAGTGACAATGCACGAATAGTTTTGCAACAATAGTTCTGGAACGTTTGGAGCAAAACTGAGAATGTAAAAGGTTTTTGATGTGCAACTTGTAGAACGGAATTTGTGTGGCTGTACTTAAAATTTGAACAGGTACAAAAAATTTGTACTTGTGAATTGTTTTTTAATTCTACAAATACAAAACTTAGAATGTAACTCCCTCTACAACTTCAAATTCACACTTAAGGGCAGATTATACGTCTGGTCATGAACCAGTTTTGATGGTATGCTTCTGCACCGTTGGTCTGGAATTTCTAGGGACGCACAGCATTTTCTCGGCAAAGAGCAACGGGGAGCCTAATCGAGAACTCGCGAGAACTTTGGCCGATTGTGCTTCCGAACCTCCTCACAACGGTCGACTGAAATTCAAACGTTTTATTTTCACCCGACCTCATGATTCCTGATTTGGAGGTGGTCGTCAGAGGCTGATCGCCCCTCGTTACCCCCGTACACTACACTACGCACGTCCAAGCTGAAAGTCAGGCCGATCAAAAAATTCTCAAATGACTGGAAAGTCGCCTCAAAACTATGTGGTTTGGGACGGCCATTAATGTGGCGGACCTTCTTCGGGGAAGCGCAAATGGAGCGATAGTGTTTGGAGGCCGATTTGGGATTCAGCCTCAGCTTAAGGAGCATCAGTGCTGAAATGTACTGTGTTGGGGGGGGCAATAGGCATAAAACATCTGTTTCGGCTTAAATTTCAGCGTGTCGGCGACATTATCAGGCAGTTCTGTGTCGTTTAAAGACTTTAATAACGTTGTTCTTCTGAGGTCTTCTTTTGGGTTGCATTGATTTCCTGCGTGTTGCTTCTCTGAGTAAACTCTCACCTGTGCTTCATCTTCAAATGGTAAAACGAACTGCTTGTATTAAAGTCAAACTGAGGCTGTGTAACTGCTCTTTGTCTCGGAGGCATGAACGACGCATGAACCAGCTCTTGCGGAGGAGCTTTTAGCATTTTTTTTGCTTTGGTTGCACTAAACAGCAGCTGTGTGAATTTTATTGATAAGAAGCTTTCTTACCAATCCATCAAAGAACGGCGGCGACTTGATGTAGGTTGATTTATCATCCCAGGTGTACAGACTGTCTGAGGGAACAACCAGAGAGTTCCAACGTTCATTCACTTTCTGCAATGAAATGAAAACGGATCAAGACCCTGAAGGTTGGTTTTTATTTCTTCCATCATTTTAACAAGACATTGGATTCTTAGCACCTCAATTTTTTCATAGACTTCTTTAAACATCGACGGGATGACAAATTTTCTCTCCACTTCCTGGATCTCATCCCGAGTGGGCCAGATGTCCCTCAGGAAGACCGGTCTGCCCTCGGGGTCGGTCCCTGCATCGGAGGAAAAGTAGGCGGGACATTCAGACCGTAACTGAAGCTCAATGTTTTAGCTTTTTCCACAACATTAGGCATAAAAACGAGTGAAATGAAGAAAATCAATATAAAAAATTAGGAGCCGTTTATGGCGTTATTTTTGGTATATGATCTAGATAAATTACGACAATCAATCACCCCCTCATCGACTGAAACGGAGCTTGTCGAGTGGGGTAGTCCAGTTTTTCTATATCCTTGTAAGGCCATACGATGGGGCATCATCACCATAAGTTACTTTCATTTCATCAAAACTCTCTTGTGGTGTTCGTCCTTTCAAATACAAAAAAACGGATCACTGCTCGACAGTCAACAGGCTCCGTTTCAGACGTGACTCAGCTCAAACACCTGTAAATCAGAAACAACAATTAGCTCACAGCTGGAATTTGCCACTTAATCTATAGATATATAAATAATTGCACATGCAAAAAATTCAGCTAGATCAAATACGTGGAAGTGGGTCAGGGGCACTACGCTTGGAACGCCACTCGTAGCCTTTAAATGGTAGAAAAACGCTTTCTTGTATACTCAGATTCTACCAGGTGGCTCTTTTTCTTTATTTTTTTGAGCATTTTATGCCCCCAAACTACTTTAGTTTATCATTACTGAACCCCACCTCGAGGTTATTACTGGATTTCTGTCTGCTTAAGGCAAAATATTCACTAAAAGAAACAAAACCTTCCAGTAAATTTGAACCTTCAAAAACAAAGCAAAACATGGAATTATTGTGGGAAAAAGACGCCATCCGGAAGAAACTTCTGACCCTGGCTCCAGTCACACAGCAGCCTGAGTTCAGAGCAGGAGAAACCTGCCAGTTCATTTGAAAGCCCGGCGTTCTCGGACCTAAACACTCCTCCCACAGTTTGCACTAAAGCTTCAGGGTTACATAACCAGACGTTTCATTTTCTGCTGCCAGCTAAAGGCCCAACTCACCAATAGGTTCCTTTTCGAAGTCTATCCTCACCGTTCCAGCTATTGCATAAGCAATGACCAGCGGCGGAGAAGCAAGGTAGTTGGCTCTTGTGTTGGGATGGACTCGGCCTTCGAAGTTCCTGTTCCCTGACAGGACCCCCGCAGCGACCAGATCCCCCTAAAAAACAAACCAGCGTTGGAAATGTAGATTATAAAAAAAGAATAACCAGAGACGGAAAGGATCCAGTTTACAGATAAAAGCAAAGTTATTCCAAGGCCTCATAGATCAGCTGAGAATCTCCACTAGTGCTGCTTTTTACTAAACTTCACATCAGGGGCGATTCTTATGGAAGCAAATCGTTTCCATATTTAAAATGTAAAAGCATTTTCAGAAATGCTTTTTCATTTTAAGAATGTGGCTGCATTGTTTGACTCATAAATGAAATTAGTAATCAATCATCATATTGCTGTAAAAGCATTTTCAGAAATGCTTTTTCATTTTAAGAATGTGGCTGCATTGTTTGACTCATAAATGAAATTAGTAATCAATCATCATATTGCTGGAGTACATTTTGGAAAAAAAATGCAGCCACATTCTTAAAATGTAAAAGCATTTCCAGAAATACTTTTTCATTTTAAAATTTTACATTTCAAATTGGAATCTTTGTATGCATTTGCTGGGGTACATTTTGAAAAATAAACCTCAAATGTCTTTTTCTTTTTCATTTTAATTAAGTAAAAGGATGAGCGTAGTTGAAGTAGAAAATGAAAATAGGATGATTGATTACTAATTTTATTTATGAGTCAAACAATGCAGCCACATTCTTAAAATGAAAAAGCATTTCTGGAAATGCTTTTTCAATTTAAATATGGTAACGTTTTGCTGAGCCCCCAGAGACTGTCTGCCCAGACAAGATTAATTCATTTCACTTTTTTCTACTCATATTTTTGAAACTTTTTCAGTGCGTTTTGTTAATAACTGACTGCATCATTCCCGACTACTTCCCATCTGCACTTAGTAAATCATAAAATGAATTGTAAATTTATATAACTAGAAACTTAAAAAATTATAACGATTTACTAATGATGCAGTAAATTCCAATATTGATATTGAGTTGTGGTTTTAAAGATAATCAAACAAATCAGTCTCAGACACATTGGAGCTCCTCGCTGGTGAACATTTCACCAACACACCATCAATAGGTGCAGAAATCTGACTGAACCTTCCAGAAACACCTGAATGCAGCGTTCTTCTAAAAGCGTCGGTCAACATTTTAGTTAAGTAGATCCATCAGGCTTGTTCACTTGTTTTTTTTAAATTAGTTTAATATTATTTCTGATAAACCAGAACATAAATTGGGGTTAAATACCCAAATACTGTATAGTTTTTACAATGTCACATATTTTTTTTTGTTACTTAGTTTTTTTTTTATTGTAAAAAGCACATATAGTATTAAAAAAACAACTCATATTTCAGGGGTGCTTTGATTCAAATTAAGGTTGCTTCACAGCCCTAAAAAAATAGGCTAAAACAGTGTTGCCAACTCAGCGACTTTGTCGCTATATTTAGCGACTTTTCAGACCCCTCCAGCGACTATTTTTCAAAAAAGCGACTAGCGACAACTCTGGGGACTTTTTACGGTGTCACTGGCGGCTTTTGGAGATACAGTTGTTACATTGTACGTGAGGCGTTCAGGGCAACAACAGCTCTAGGAAAGAAACTGTTTCTCAGTCTGGTTGTTTTTGTTCTTATTGCCCTGAAACGTCTTCCAGATGGGAGCAGTTCAAAGACAGCGCTGCAGTCAGAGCCGCAGGATGAACCGCGCACATGCGCCGGGATTGACGCCGCAAATTGATCACGCGGTGCCGCTACGCCCTGACTTACATTCGAGGCGGGAGCGAGCGGGATGTAAATGTAAAATGTTATTTGGTCTAAAATAAATAACTGAATTTGAAATATTTTGATTCACACAGCCACAGTCAGTCACTTAAAGGAATAGTACACCCAAAACATGATATGCCTTCATTTTCTACTCACCCCCATGCTGAACAACACTCTGGAGTACTTTTTTGATATCTCAAATGCATCTGGAGATCTGGGAGGCTTCTTGCTGTCTGCTGACATTCAAATAATGGAGGTCTATGGCGCCCGAGGCAGAAAGGTCTATAAAAGTCCACAAAAAACGTGTCAATATTCCTCCATACTGCTCGTCCAATGTATTCCAAGTGTCCTGAGTGGGTAGCGTCCATAATTTACTCGAAACAAAGTCATTTAGAATGTTTTTAGAGCATAAACAGTAGTGTACAGGATTTCCTGAAAGCACGCGCCTGCAAGTTCACGACGCTACGGAAACCGCGGCAGACCAAACCGGATGAAAGTGCGCATTCAGCTCGGCAAAGAACTCATGCTCTTCCTCAACACTGAAGTCCTCAGACATTTTTCTTTCGTTGTTTCTTTCTTTGCACAGGTAAACAGCACATTTCTTCTTCTACGCTTGCATTATTGGCAGAGCAGATGCTGAATGCACACTTTCATCTGGTTTGGTCTGCCGGCTTCCGTAGCGTCGTGATCGCGCAGGTGCGCGCTTTCAGGAAATCCTATATACTACTGTTTATGCTCTAATAACATTCTAAATGACTTTGTTTCGAGTAAATTCTGGATGCTACCCACTCAGGACACTTGGAATACATTGGACGAGCAGTATGGAGGAATATTGACACGTTTTTTGTGGACTTTTATGGACCTTTCTGCCTCGGGCGCCATAGACCTCCATTATTTGAATGTCAGCAGACAGCAAGAAGCCTCCCAGATCTCCAGATGCATTTGAGATATCAAAAAAGTACTCCAGAGTGTTGTTCAGCATGGGGGTGAGTAGAAAATGAAGGCTAATCATGTTTTGGGTGTACTATTCCTTTAATCACCTTGTCCATTGTGTTTTCCTCTCTAAGATTAACATTAATCTGCTGGTGAGAATCATTATCTCTCAGTCTAAACTGTACAGTCAAAAATACAGACAAGAGGGAATCAAACCCTGAAAAAAGTAGCTCTATATATATTATATAGTGTTTTTACTCACTTTTTGTCTTTCTGTAACAACATTATTTCTCCCACAGAATCAATAACATGCACATCACTTCCTGTGGCAGATTATGCAAATTAGGCGCTGACATCATTTAGCGACTTTTAGCACAGCCAATAGCTACTTTCCTTACTGAGGAGTTGGCAACACTGGGCTAAAAACGACTATGCTTCACACGAAGCTTTGCTGCAGAGACTTGTTTTCTAGATAAAAGCAAAGCTGCTTTATGCAACGTGAAGAAAAAGTATTTGATACCTGATGCCGATTTTGCAGATTCGTATGGAGAGGAATTTACTCCAAGATTACTAAAAGCAAATTAAACTAATAGAAAAAAAGGGTTAATATATATACATTCTTGCAATCCACATTTTTTTGTTTGCCTTTTTCCTAGATTGAATTTTACCATTTTTTTTTCTCTCTCCAAACTTCATTTTCAACCCTTGTTTGACAAGATAGTTCAATTCTTTCCAAATCCTGATTTTCGTTCTCTATGCTCCTGTGTGGTCTGTGCATAGACCTACAAATTGATCTGCTCTGCTTAGGAACTGCATTTCTGTTAGTCTGAGCACAGGCTGAGGCTTTGCTCTTCACAGTCTCATGAAGGTGAGCTGCAGTGGAGCAGGCAGGTAGAAGAGCGAAGGCTGTGAAGTCATGGGATGGGATGTAAGAAGTACAGGTGGCTGGTTTAACCAATAATAATCTTTTTTCCCCCCCTCACAGTCTAAAGTTTTAGATGCTTGTAATTTAATTGATTTCTTCATTCAGAAACCGAGAAAAACACAATTTAAACGGTGGTCAATAGAACTGTGTCACAATGCATGTCTCATGACGTCCTGGTAAGTCCGGAGGTTTGCCTTTGAGCTCAGCTTAGATCAAAGCAAGCAGGAAACAAGGGCGACTTTGTAACAAGAAAACAGACACAGTGTAGGCATCAGATCTGCTCGGGCCCAGTGCGTGCCAGTGAAGTTACGCTATAGAATTTGCTGAATGTTGTCACATGACATATAACATGGTGGTTGCCCAGACAACAACAATAACAATGCAGCGTCCGTGTGCGTCCTGGAGCATCTGTAATGTTAGCGCATTTAATGGCCGATGAAGTTTTACCTGATTGATAACAAAGCTGAAAAAATCTTTATGGTGAACAAAGTAAGTGACCATGCAATAAAGGGGGAGAGGTGGGGGTTAGCCTCTTTTAGCTAGGTCAGTTAGCCATATAAGGCAACATTACTTTTAATATGGCGTTAACAGCAACGTTCGTTCACTACAAGTAGAATAACTTTTTTTTTCAACTTTGTCTAAAATCTCAATGAAAGTCATTTTTTAAGATGTTCCATTTATCCTACCCTGCCCTCAGATCTTAATTATAAGAATAAGCAGCATTGGAGACTTTGTGTGTCACACTGTTAAATGGCAGAGCTCAGTCTATCTTACAGTAGAAGGCAGTGCTTTCCTTGAAGACCGACTCAGAATGATTGTTTTCTACTTTCAGCTTCTTTAAATCGCTAATGAACCGATAAATAATAGCAAACATGGGTAATAATATGTTGAGACTCCAGGAGAGACCTGATTCTTAAGAAACGGGTGCAATACAGTTTGTCTGAGTGGAGTGTCCATACAGTAGCAGCCATTCAAAATGGCCCTTCCCAGTCAAACGCCAGCCAATCTTAATGTCCACCAATCATGACAGAAAGAATATTTAAGTACAAAGGCTGATATTTAATAATGAATTGTAGGGGACCAGCCAAGGACCAGCCTAGGGTCGGCCAAGGACCAGCCGAGGACCAGCCACGGACAGGCCAAGGACCTGCCTAGGGTCGGCCAAGGACCAGCCGAGAACCAGCCAGGGACAGCCAAGGACCTGCCTAGGGCCAGCCAAGGACCAGCCACGGACAGGCCAAGGACCTGCCTAGGGCCGGCCAAGGACCAGCCGAGGACCAGCCAAAGACCTGCCTAGGGCCGGCCAAGGACCTGCCTAGGGCCGACCAAGGACCGGCCAAGGACCAGCCACGGACAGGCCAAGGACCTGCCAAGGACCAGCCGAGGGCCGGCCAAGGACCAGCCGAGGACCGGCCAAGGACCAGCCGAGGACCAGCCAAGGACCCATCAAGGAAAGTGGGGAAAATTTTGAATGGCTACTACTGTATGTTGACATCATAAGAAGGGGCAGGGCCCCGAGCAGGTCTTACCACCGGAGCAGATATGGTACATGCAACGGCTCTCGCTGTGAAAAGATGGCCCTCTACTAGACAGCGCTGAAAAGTATTTTCAACATCGTGTTCTTCCACCGGCTCAACAAAATGCCTCTGCTCTAAGGTCTTTGTTGGATCCAGGAAGCTTAGCAGTTCAGCCACTCCTCACCAAGAGGTATCAAGGCAGTGGTGGGCGGTGCATACGGTACCCAGGCCTTCAGTGGGCACCATTCAACTTCACCAATAATATTCAAATATGAAACGTAATCAAGCGCAGGTATAAAACAGACAAAGATTAGTGTGCGGGTGAATACAGAGATCAATTTAGCAAGAAGCCCAGTTAAGACAACAGCAATCCTCTACTCTATAACCACAGCTCTGCCATATTTCCATCATCATGAGCTGTTCCGATTCAATTTGCATCTAATTAAGTTAAAATAGAGCATAGAGCATGACATTAATATGTATCACACCCACCAGAGATGCTAATTACTTAAAAACTAAATCCATCCTTCTGTCTTTGTGCAGGAAGTCTTAGAATCTCCATTTAGTATTAGCAATAGAGGCATCCATTCAACCATTTCCTTACACTTATCCGTCCCGGATCACGGAGGCAGCAGTCTAAGCAGAGATACCCAGACTTCCCGATCCACACACACCTCCTCTAGCTGCTCTGGAGGGACCCCCAAGATGACACCAGGCCAGCTCAAAGACAGTCCCTCCGTTGTGTTCTGGGACTTCCAAGAGGCCTCCTCCCAATGGGGCATGCCTGGAACACATCCCCAGAGAGGCGACCAAGAGGCATCTGAAACAGATGCCCGAGCCTCCTCAGCTGGCTCCTTTTAATGTCGAGGAGCAGCAACTCTACTCTGAGCTCCTCCTGGGAACCTGAGCTCCTCACCCGATCTCAAAGGGTGTGCCCAGCCACCCTGTGAAGGAAACTCATTTTGGCCGCTTGCATTCGTGATCTTGTCCTTTCGGTCATTACCCAGATCTCATGACCAAAGGTGAGGTTGGGAACGTAGATCGATCTGTAAATCCAGAGCTTTACCCCCCGACTCCGCTCCCTCTTCACCATGACAATCTGATACAGCGACCGCATCACTGCAGACTCCACACCGATCAGTCTGTCGATCTGACGCTCCATCCGTCCCTCACTCGTGAACAAGATCCCAACATACTTCAACTCCTGCACTTGAGACAAGGACACTCCACCGACCTGAAGAGGGAAGCCCACCTTTCTCAGGTAGGAAACCATGGTCTCGGGTTTGGAGGTGCTGATCCTCTTCTAGCCACTGAGGCCAGAAAACCTTAAAGCTACAGTGTGTAATAATTACAGGCATATAAATTCAGAAATTTAATATATTATACATAACTATGTTATTTATCATCACCTATGAGCTCAGCCTTTTAACCATAACATTTGCGTTGCCTTAGAATTCGTTATTTATAATTACATAGGAGCGGGTCTCGCAGCCATGGAGGCTGACATCTTTGCGCTACGGCAGCGCAGAGGCAACAAACTAGCGATTGCGAGATCTCCCATGACGCTCGAAAATAACTACGGCAAGTTGAGAGAGATGAACTGAGACGGTACTGAACAGTAGATGGCAGTATTATGCCTGAGAAGCGTTTAGTCTGCCTGAAACCAAAGAAGAAGAAGAAGCAGGTATACTGCGCCTCGGTAACAAGAAAGGTAAACAAGGCGGCAGGCGTGAGTGACTTTGCAAACTGTTTGGCACTGTGTGGCCAAACATCAGACGAATGGAGGATCATGCCTACTCTGTATCACAACGAAAAGCGGCGGACACCGAACCCCCGTCATCTAAGAAGCGGAAACACGACGAGAATAAACGCAAGAGTGACAAGAAACGACAAAAAACACGGATCAACATTGGCACGGCATTTACACGATGGAAGTCACTGATGGAGGAAAAAGGTTTTCAAAGTGACGCTCAAGTTGCCAGTTTTCTCTTGGACAGGTAATTAATCCTATACACACAATTGTCTAATATCACTGCAGTTTTTGGAATACAGGATGCTCAGACCTGTCTAAAACAATAACATGCTGCGTGATGATGCTGTTACTCTCCAGTATACTTATTCAGCAACGTCCCTGACGTTTCACAGGTAATGATTCAGTAATTTTCTGTAAAATAATTTTCTGGATATATACCTCGGTTACTTCTCTCCGGCTCCTTTGGAGATCTTCAAGCCTTTCCTCCTCTGCTCTCACCCCGCTGGCTCCCCTCTCTCGCCTGGCCCCAGCTGCACGCTCACCCCGGCCTCTCTGCCCTCTTCCTTTCCCTCTTCCTTGCCTTGTAACCCCCGTGCCACAAACAAGACTTGGACTCTGTAAACGGGGAATATATATTCTTCCAGCGAACACAATCTCGCTGTTAAACTAATGACTACAATTACTTCGTCTGTTTATATCACCATGCAAAGCAGCTCACCAAAACGTCACAACGACGTAGAAAAAATAACGGGTATATTTATTATCTTAAGTCTACATGAAATCTATACCCTACACAGACTAATGAAATACTATCTGTAAAATTATCTATGTAAACAAACCTCATCACTTGAGAAGGTAGGTGATGCGGACGTCGTGGAAGACATTTTGTCCCGTAACGCTCGCCGTACTGTTGGGGGGGAGAAGCGGTGGGGGGGAGACGTTCATGTTGCTGCAGTCTGCAGTCTGGACGTTAGATGTCGCTGAAAATTACACACTGTAGCTTTAAGTAAACATGCTCAAGGGCTTTAAGATAAATCACTATATCAACCGAAATTGTTTTATTTAATTCAGTTCAGAATTATTTTCACTGTTTCAATTACGTTTGAAATTCGTTGATGTTGATGCAGTCTGCAGTCTGACCGCTAGATGTCGCTGAAAATTACACACTGTAGCTTTAATAAAAGTGAATCTAAAACGCAGATTGTCGCTAGCATAACTTGGCTTTAAAAATTTTATTCTAACTGACCAATCCGAAGCTTTAGGGCTTTAGGCTGCCCTGCAAGGCTTTAAACCTGGGTTTGAATGGAGACTAAGCCATTCTCAAGCACATATCAAGGTGCTCATTTTGAGCCTGGATCCAGATTTATTTTTGATTCTGTTCATGGAGGAGAATCCTGCTTCACAGCAGCAGGTTGAGACAAACATCCTCTAAATGTACTTTAAATTTGTATCTCCTACAGCCTAGTCCCAGGTGCTCCGGAAGGCTTTACCATATTAACAGGAGAAGAGGCGCAAGTGAAGTTAGACACTGTCGTTGGACGACATGCGGTAATTTATAAATGTTTTAAATCACGTTGGGTCCGGATTAGCCAGCAGGTGGGTCCGGACACGGACCGCAATCCGCTAATCTTGACCTCTGCACTAGACATTCAGGCACACACCTAAAATGGCGTAAACACCATAAAGTGCCCTATTTAGGCGTTCAGGCGGGCGTTCCGACACAGCCATTGTCTCCATTGTGCATGCCTACTTCACATCACATCATGGTTCAGTTGCAGGGAGGAACAAATACGTGAAATAGAGATGACTTGTTGGCTTTAGATCCCCCATTTCTAGCCCCTGTCACACCTTGACGATTTAGACCAGCGTATGCCTGACGTGGGAAAATCTGGCAAACCGCTGGCATGCATTGGGATACCTTAAGAGTACATTTTGTATGAGCACGCTGAAACATGCTGAAACACCCTGTCACACCTCAGCATACGGCGAGTACTTCGATAAATCCCCATCATAGGGTGAGCCAGATGGTGTGATGGATACTCCCTGCGTTCACGCCCACAACCAACATAAGTGACTCTGCTGAGACTGCAAACCTTCTTTCCTTTTCTTTCTTTCTTTATTCCGTTTTTTTTTTTTTGGGGGCAGGCGGTATCATCGCTGCTCCCCTCAGGAGCATTTTAGGAGATTCTGGGACCTCGGGCATACACCGTCTAAATCTGCAAGGTGTGACAGTGCCCTCTGCTCGAAATGCATCCTTTACATAACCGACCAATTTTTTCGCTCCTGATCGCGTCTTTACTAAGGGACAACATGTAAATCTCTCGCTCCAGCCGTCTCGTTGGCGTTCGGTCAGAACCCATCTTTACACCGTACCCGTTCAGAGCAGGCGGTCCCACGTTCCCTAACCGACCTACGTGCAATGTATTGATTTAAAGTTGTTTATTTTAAAGAGGCCACAAAAAACATTCTTTAATGGAAACACAGCTGAAGGTTGAAAATGCTGACGTTAAACCCATGTAACTCTAGGGGAGCAAAGAGATGTTACACGTACCTTGGTTATGGCCTCCACCACTGAATCTGGGAGCGGACCACTGTTTCCGATACACGTCATGCAACCGTAGCCAACGACTTCAAAGCTATTAGGAGACAAAAGACCTGTTAAAGCAAAATACACAAGTCCTACGGTATGAAACATTGCTTGTAGAACGCGTAAAGCCAGGCATACACTGTGCAATATTTTCAATCGTTGCACGCAGCTGCAGCTAAAACTGTACAAGAAAACTGCAGGGTTTAAAAGTTCACAGCTCACGATGTTTGTTCTCACACTGTGCGGCGCGACGCTCTGATGCGGTCTACCTGCTCACTGTAGGTCTAAAAAAAACACGTCGGACTCAGCGCCGACAGATGGCGCCGGTCGGACATGTCTATCTGGTAGAAGGAGAGGAAGAACTCCCTTGTTTGCACATGCGCAGTGCTCGAGGTTCTGGTAAATCGGCTCGTAGCTCTGACTCAACAGCAGGACAAGGACACCTTACGACGGCTGACTGAATTTCAAACATGTTTGATTTTCTCCCGACCTTACGACTCCTGATCGGGAGTTGGTCGTAGGTAACCTGACTCCGCCAGATGGATTTGCTCCGCATATCCTTCTGGAAACCTTCCGTTGAAGTAATTTTGGGAAGGGGCGAAAATACTGGTTAGCTGATTGGCCTATGTTGGTGATAGACGGGCCAAATAAACCAATCAGATCAACGAACCATATGACGTACTAACAGAGCGACAACGAAAACACAACCACAAGCCAGGCTACTCTCCCAGTCGGGAGAAGAGCAAAAACATCTTTTCCTCTGAGAAAAGCCTCCAGAGCAGTGTTTTGCTCTTCTTTCAGTGAAGAAATACTCTGTAATTCCGATAAAACTTGCTCGATAGCCACGCTAACGCTAGTTTCATCGGCTGAAGCCGCCATGTTCTTTAGACTGAACTGTCGCACTTCTCGTTGCGTCAAACCTCAACCCGCCTCAAAGCCAACGCTGATTGGACGTTCATTTGGTGAACGGCTCCAAATTTTCTTCAACAGAGAGTCTCCAGACTGATTAGCGAGAGAAATCTTGAAAGCTCGCGAGAGCAGGATGGTCTCACTAGGCTAGGTCGTAAGAGGCTAATTGCCCCTTGTTACCCCCTGTATGCTACATGATGCACAATCAGGCTGAAACTGGGCCTAACTGAAAAAGTTCTCGCACGACTGGAAAATCGGCCCGAAAGGGTAAAAAATCGTACAGTGTATGCCCGGCTTAAACCAATCAGCACGCCCGAGTATATGTGAGAAATCAGAGTGGCGAGAAGCTCACCCCAGCTGAAAGAGGTAGTCCATAACGCCACTCTCCTTCAGGTAGTAGGTCACTACTCCGCTGCCGGGGGACAGGCTGGTCTTTATATACGGCTTCACACTAAGACCACGGCTCACTGCTTTCTTTGCTAGGAGTCCTGCAGCAACAGATTATATCAGGAGTTTTGCATTCGGAAAAATGGGTTATATTATCAAATACAGCCATGAAATAATTTGCAGTTGGAATAAGCACCTGCTCCGAGCATGACGGACGGGTTGCTGGTGTTGGTGCAGCTGGTGATTGCAGCAATGACCACCGAGCCGTGACTCAGCATATACTCCTTCTCGTTGAATAGGAAGGGGATGGCAGCGCCGTGGTGTTCGGGGGCCACCTGGAAACCTTTGAATCCTTGCTAACAAGAACAAAAAAGGGAACAACTGAGAACATTTTGCAAAAACAAACTTATGGTATAATCAACATTTTATCCTGCCACAGGAATGTAAACAAAAACAAGTTTGTAACGTTGACATTTGTTCCTTTAGAACAGTCATCCCCAAACTCGGTCCTCGAGGGCCGCTGTCCTGCAGGTTTTAGAGGTTTCCCTGCTTTAGCACAGCTGATTATGATTGCAGTAGAGCAAAAGCCTGTTAATCAACTATCAATTAAAATCAGCTGTGCTGGAGCGGAGAAACATCTAAAACCTGCAGGACAGCGGCCCTCGAGGACCGATGAATTGATTATTTACGCTTAAAAGGAGTCTCTATCACCGTTTTAATGTTACCACCGTCCACTAGAGGGCGCCACTGTTCATACATAAGCAGAGCCTCGCCTGTAATGCCAGAGGGAGACATGCGCAATCCATGGCTATTTCTCAATATGTGTGCTTGTGCGTTCTCATGTGTTTGTGAAACGTCATCAGCCTAATGCAACGTTCTGACCACAAGCAGCAGAGGCAGCAGAAGCAGCTAGCTTACATGCAAAGTCAATGGTTAACGCGCATCAAGGTGCAGCAAAAGGTCCTGCAGCGCATCTAGAGCAGCTGAAGCAGTTCCTCAAGTGACACGCTTCATAAGCAGCAGCTGCTAGAGTTCAGCTACGTTCAGTCTGCAAGCAGCAGGAGCAGCAAAAACGCGCATAATGCTTCATTTCTGATGCTTGTATTTAATGAGTTATGGTTAGTAATAAGTAACTTTATAACCATAATTATATATTTTATGGAAACCCAGATGTATATTATATATGGCTATATACTATATATTGTATACAGTATATTGTCTGTTTTATATTGTATATATCTAGAGATTCTGGTTATATGTATCTAATTTGTCGGCACCATCAACACCAAGTCAAATTCCTTGTAAGTGCAAACCTTCTTGTCAATAAATCGGAGAATTCTGATGTCTGGTTGCGCAGGCCCAAATGAGCTGATGGTCAGGATCATGCTCCCAGTGTTCTGTCCGAGCAGCATACCAGAGTCGCACTTAAGTCGCATATTTAATGACTTTAGACTCGACTTAGACTTGCATTTGAAGCACTTCAGACTTGACTCAGACTTGTGATTTCTGACTTGTGAACAATATTTTATTTTTAAGTGTTTTTTGATCGTCGCTCGCTTTACCCGCACACAGCAGAGGTAAAAAAATTAAAAAAAAGGCAGAGGGGCTGTAAAACTGTCACGTAGCACTGACGTCACTGACGCAACGCTGGGTGACATATATGCCCGCGCGCCCGTGCGCATGCATGCATGATCGACAAGACAAGCTTTAAAAACTTCATGGCAGTCGTAGAGGAGAAATATGTTGTGAATAATGTTGTGAATTGGCACTAAATAAATAAACTGAATTGAATTTAAAATACTGCCCGCCAAGTCGGTTCTGTCTGTTCCAGGGCATTAAGTTACAAAAACTAGATAAAGTTGTAACCACAAATGTCAGGTAAATACTGTAAGAAAATTGTTGTTTTTGAAAGAAAAAAATAAAGATGCAAAATTTTACTGGAAAAAAAAAATGCGTGTGTGCTTTTTTAAATTGTATTTTTCATTTACCAGTTCAAGATAATGATCATTCCATAGATATAATAGCAACCTTTAAGCTATAGCGTCTCAGTGACGGAGATGAAAACACAAGGAGAAACAAGCAAGCACGAAAATTATTGCACTTATTTTAATTAATCGAGCGATTAGAATTTATTGTGCGATTAATTGATTATTGCGACAGGCCTTCTCAAGACTTGAGACTTGACTTGGACTTGCAAAAAATGACTTGTGAACATGTCTGCAGCATACCCATAGTCACTACCCGTTTATCCGTTTAGATCAGAGGTCACAGATCAGCGGGCCAGGGTCTGGATCCAGACCCACCTGCTGGCTGATCCGGATCCAGCCTGATTTAAAACATTTATAAATTCCCACATGTTGTCAGATGACAATGTCTAACTTCACTTGCGCCTCTTCTCCTGTTAATACTGTAAAGCCCTGGGGAGCGTCCGGCTCCAGGCTGCACGTGATCCAAATAAGCCAATGAGCTGTCAGTCTGGGTTGCTGCTGCTGCTACTGTTAGACACAGCAGGCAAACCTGTGGCAAGCCGGGCGATGGGAAAGAAGGAGAAGACCATGAGAAAAAGAGAGCAGAGAAAGTGTGGACTGCTGGAAGAACTGCGGTGAACTGGTGAAAGAAAAGTGAAATGGCGTGCTCAAAGAGGACCCTGCACATTTAGAGGATGTTTGGCTCAACCTGCTGCTGTGAAGCAGGATTCTCCACCATGAACAGAATCAACAATAAATCTGGATCCAGGCTCAAAATGAGCTCCTTGATATGTGCTTGAGAATGGCTTAGTCTCCGGTTAAACCCAGGTTTAAAGCCTTGCAGGGCAGCCTAAAGCCCACTGCCAACATTAAGACAGAAAAAAGAAAGAAAATAACAAACGCTCAGTTCAGGTGTTTGAGAAAATATGGGAATCAGGAAATTGTCTATAAACCAAACTGAACGATTGCTGTTCTCTACTTCAAAAAACAATTTAGATGTTAAAATGGAAAAAAAATTCTAATTTTTCATATCATTTGATTTAAAAATTCCATGGATGCATAAAATGCATTTAATTTCAGTGTACAATTCTGTTTAATGTAACAGATTAAAATTAAATATGTCTTTGGACCTTTAATGGTTGATGATTTTCTTTATTCAGACTCCGCTGATTTTTAATTGGTGAACCCTGCTTTAATTATCCCTTTAGTTTCTGTCTGGTTTTGTATGAAAAATACAATTTAAACTACCTCAACTGGCGTGTATCCCTTTAGTCACATACAAAAAACAATTTAATTACTTATTTTTTGGTGTTTTTTGAAGCATATGGCGATTTGACCTTAAATTGTCATTTGTACACGACTAAAGGGATACACACCAGTCGAGGTAGTTTAAATTGTATTTTTTGTACAAAACTAAAGGGACAAATTCAAATCTGACGTCTTACGCTGTTAGAAATATTTCATTCATACTCCGTTTGTGTTTCATGGATTGTGTAGTAATGAACTATTATGATGTATAATGTGTGATTTATCATTTATTAACTCTTGCTAAAGATTGTTCCAGATAAAGGTCATGCAACGGAGGCCTGAACATCCTCTATCACATGTCTCTTCTAAACATGTGTTCTTGAAACAATTCAGTTGTAAAACAACCACATGCTTTGTTTTATCCTATGTGCTGAGGTTTAAAGTACCGTATTTTCACGACTATAAGGCGCACTTAAACGTCTTTTTTTTCCTCAAAATGTGCGGTGCGCCCTATGGTGCGGTGCGCCCTATGTGTGTTGTAACTGCGACTTTTGAGACCACCTCATTGAGGAGATGATGAAAGAGTGGCTGAATGTAAGGAGACCAGGTGTTTTTTTTTCCACTCATCACCATTGCTGTTAATATGTGACTCCATGCGTGCCCATCTCACAGCTGATGTGAAAAACATGGGGAAACAAATTAACGCTGTGCTCGCTGTTCAACCGCTCGACATCGGTGTGAACCGGACCCAGCAGGTGCAGCAGAAGCAGCGAGTTTACATGCAAAGTCAGTGGTTGACGCGCGTATAGATGCAGCAAAAGGTCCTGCAGCGCGTTTTGAGCAGCAGGAGCATTTAAGCATCTGCCAACGCGCTGCTGCTGCTCGAGATGGAAAAATTGAAGTTTTGCTGCTGGACGCGCCGCATCAACCAATCAGAGAAGCTGATCTGGGAGCTGACAGTGAGACAGACACAGCGCTCTGATGACATATATTAACGCAAATGAAACGGGCTGGATGGATGAGGAGATGATGCAGGCAGGTGTATGTGAGGAGACCAGGTGCTTTTTTCCACGCATCACCATCGCTGCGTGCCCATCTCACAGCCGATGTGAAAAAAAAGGTGAATCAAATTGACGCTGTGCTCGGCGTTATCCCGGGGGGTCTGACAAAGGAACTTCAACCGCTCGACATCGGTGTGAAAGCGGCCGTTCAAAGTAAGGCTGCGAGCGGCGTGAGAGCGATGGATGACAGACTGAGACCACAGTTTCAGGATAAGTGGAAGGCAGCGCCGGGCAAGTTACGCCACAGTTTGCGGATGGATTGTAGATGCTTGGACTAACGTGTCTGCTGGCACTGTTGTTCGAGCTTTTACAAAAGCCGGCATTATTTCTGAGGAGCTGCGCTGCACGGAAAGTGACTCTGACAGCGAAGAAGAAGGGGAAACTGGCATGTCTGATTTAGCGCAGCTGTTTAATTCAGAAACAGAGGAGGATGACTTTGATGGGTTTGATTAATACTTTGTAATAAATACATGAATAAAGCACAATCATACTCAGTTTTGCTCCCGCTCTATTTTTCTACCTGAAAACTTAATTCAACAGCAGCCTCTGGGCGGGTCTCCTCCTCTTCACCGCGGTGGCTGGCAGGTGTTTTTCATCTAAATAATCTAAATCTTGCAGCTATATTTGCTGTGATCAGTGGGAATAACGTAGTTTTAATATGTTTTTAAGTGAGAAAGTCCACCTGAAAACTTCCTAATTGCAGTCAGTTCATCCAGATTATTATCGTGCCTATACTATTTCTGTCGGAGGCGCTCAGACCCCCACATACCAGCGGTGCACCGACAGTAAATCCCTTCAACAGCAGCCTCACCGCGGCGGCTAGCAGGTGTTTTTCATCTAAACAATTTAAACTGCAGGCACCAGGATACCGGCAATAAAAGCGAACATATTCCGTCGGCAGGTTTCAGGATTTTAAGTTAATTTAGGAGTGATCACAGCGCTGTGTCATCTGCGATGGTGGTCTGTCTCACGGCCAGCTGCCAGGTTTGATTAATACTTTGTAATAAATACATGAATAAAGCACAGTCATACTCAGTTTTGCCCCCGCTGTATTTTTAAATACGCAGTAGAGGTATTTAAAGGTAGTAGAGGACTTGTACCTGTATATAAAAAACGCGCCCTATAGTCCGGTGCGCCTTATGTGTGTGTTAAATACAGAAATGGGACACATAACTGAGAGTGCGCCTTTTAGTACGGTGCGCCTTATGGTCGTGAAAATACGGTAAGATCATTTTGTTTCCCTTTCCCTTAGTTAAACCTCAGCCTGTGTAATTAGGGACATCCCCTGACCTCAATAAATAGCGACGAGAAAGCTGAAGACCGGCAGAGTGGGGTGGAGATTTGTAAACTCTGCAGTCTCTTCCTACTCTCCTCGCGAGTAAAATTAAATTAATTGTCTCTGTGCTTTCTTTCTTTCCCTGTATGTATGTATGATGTTTTAGGTGCTTAGACCTGACATACGCATTCGTATTGACTATATTATATGCTAGTCTGACGGGGTATGTTGATCTGACAGAAGACTGTGATGGATCTGGTAGTGACAGTGCCAAGCAGAGGCTCCGATGTTAACCTTTAAAAGGTTCCTGTTTTATTATATCGCATTGTTAATACGTTTAAAAAGCTGTCTTTGTTTATTCAGTCAGTATTGCATGAAGATTACAAAATAAATGGTTAAATATAATAATGCAACAATTTTCTTAAGCCAACCTTTTCTCCCAGACAGGTGTCAAAGTCTGTTTTCATCTCAGAAACAGGGATCCTGTCCTGCGGCCTTTTGGGGCCGCTGCAGCAAGGAACCACACTGCCGAGGTCCAACTCCACCACCTTAAAGAGAAAAGAATGGCTCGTGGGTAATAATGATGCGCTTTGACTCTGATAGCAAATAATCTGCTGTGAAAAACAAATACTAGGGCTGCAACAACGAATCGATAAAATCGATAAAAATCGACTTTTAAAAGCGTTGGCAACGAATTTCATCATCGATTAGTTGTGACGCGCGATTATTGCGTCATCCGACGCGCCGTCATCACTGCCTCTTGACTGAAAGAGGAAGAAAAAAAAATATGGCAGAGCGAGTCAGGGCTGCAGGTGCAGTGTTGCCAACTCAGCGACTTTTCAGACCCCTCCAGCGACTATTTTTCAAAAAAGCGACTAGCGACAAATCTGGCGACTTTTTTCGGTGGCACTGGCGGCTTCTGGAGACTCTTACGTGAAAGCATGTATCGTTCCTACTCTGCCGTGGGGCGCCTCCCCCCGCTCCCGCAGGAGTCCCTCTCAGCGCTGCAGTCAGAGCCTCAGCGTCCAGACTGCAAATGAAGCTCGCATGCACCGGGATTGACGGCGCAAATTGATCACAATAATTAAAATAGCCTGCGCTTTGTAAAGTGAAAAAAGTGATAACATGCAACTTTTTTCAAAAGAAATTCGTTTTAAAGTGGGGAAACGTTACGTTAGTTTCTCAGGTAGCTCATCTGATGCTTTCCTTACCTTGTTAGTAGGTTACAGACAATGATAAGGTTGGCTACTTATTTTACTTTTAATTTCATTTGAATTAGCTTAAGCAGCGTTTACATTTACTTTATAAATAAATTAACTTGCAAATTATGAGGGCAAGGCTTTTAAAGTTTAAATCTTCTGGCGAAGATAAAGTAAAGAAGATCCTGCAATTTATGGAAGTAAAGCAGAATAAAATCCAGCAAGATCAGTAATATGTCAATTAATTATCTGCCACATTCCCATGTAAATATCTGTCTTTGGAGGATGTGTTTTTTAGCACCCCTAGTTCTCTCATTTTTATTCCAAATACAATTTATAATTTGAATTACAGGGCTATTTTTATCTCTATGGTTCAGTATTTTCTCAAGCAGCAACTTTAACTGCTATACTTTCCTGTCTTAAAAGGCAGAACTCTTCTAGTCTAAAAAAACTCATTTGATGAAATGGGGGGGCCTATTGTTTGAACCCCTTAGGGGCTTTTAAAAACAAAAATGTCTTTTTTTGCGCTTTATGAAACAAAGTACCCTATATTTTGTGGATGTACAGCTACATTTCTCATGTAAGTTTGCGTAGTTTTATCACAAACATTTATTTTTCATATTGCACCAGTACAGTTAATGAGCAACCTGTACCTGTGTGCTTGTTTGTTCTGTCTAAAATGTTTATTTTGGAATAAAGAGGTTAATATAAAAAAATTTTTTTGTCCGATTCATCGATTAATCGAAAAAATAATCGTCCGATTCATTGATTTTTAAAATAATCGTTAGTTGCAGCCCTAACAAATACCGAAGAAATGTTTTGAAGAATAAAAGCTCCACTGACCTGAGTGAAATCTGGATCCTGAGCGACGTCATTGTAGTCTCTGAACATGGCCGCTGCCTTCAGGTATTTGGCAACGTAGGCCAACGTGTCGGGTTCCCGTCCTAAATTAAAATGCCGTTTACACTTTTTTCCCAAATCGACAGTTGCAAACCCATAAAGAAGAGCGATGCCTTCAACATCCCCACAAACTGGACCCTCACCGGTCTGCTCCAGGTACTTCAAACTGACGTTGTCCACTGGGAAGAACGCCGCCGTGGCACCGTACTCGGGACACATGTTAGAGATGGTGGCTCTGTCAGCGATAGACAGCTGGGCCACTCCGGGGCCGAAGAACTCCACAAACTTCCCCACTACGCCCACCTGGCGGAGGTGCTTCATGTCCGCAGACGGAGAGAGGAGATAATATCACAAACGTGAAAACAAAGCGATCTGCTGATGGTCCTGCATTATGCTGGTGAAGATCCTCAGTCATCCAGGTCATAGTCATTCCAAAAAACTTTGTTTCCAAGTTTGAAGACGTTTCGCTTCCAATCCCAACTGAGTTGATCCTTTCCCACTATCATCGCAACCCCAACCCTTTACAGGGAACCAGAAGACTGCGCCTATTCAGCCAGGCCAACAATTCCCTTTAACAACCCCCCTTTCGGAGACATAGACAGGTATAGTAGGGATGCACGATATAATCGGCCCCCTATCGGTATCGGCCTTAAAACTGAATATCGGACATCGGCCACCCCACCGATATTCAACTCGATATTTGATCAGCTTCTGAGTTTCTAAAGTCTAAAAAAAAAAAAACATACTACTTCTTCTTCTTCCTCAAAAACTTCTTTTTTACAGACTTAAAAACTTCTAAAGACGAGGGAAAAAATATTGATCCATTAAAATATCCCAATATCTTCATATGCTGATATATTGCCATTTAAAAACAACATATCAATCTCTTTTACTAATGAAATATTGCTATATGTCATCGTTATGCTACAAAATCCCCCAAAAATCCCCGAAATGTTGCCATATTTTTATATGTTGATATATTGACGCGGTATCGATCTATTTTACTAACAAAATCTCACAAGAATTTGCAAAATATCACGAGAGTTTGTAACATAACGATTAAATTTCACAAGATTTTGAAAGTAAAATAGATAGATGCCGCGTTTTTAAAAATCAATTTGATATCAGCATATGAAAATATATTTGAGTATATTATTTTTCAAAGTGTCAGAAATGGATAACAAAACTGCTATTTTCAAGGACTACTTATTTTTGTCCAGCTTTAACATCGGTATCGGTTATCGGCTACATAAGTTTTAAAATATCGGCATATCGGATATCGGCCAAAATCCCAATATCGTGCATCACTAAGGTATAGGGCATTGCAGGCTAAACAACCTCCATTCTAAAGGAGTGGATCCGTTCGTCCGTTTCAATTTGCATGTTTTCTAAAGGCTTTGTTTGGCTACTCTATAAAGCCTGGAACTCAAAGCTATTTCTGACATTTTGAATAGAAAAAGCTTCCTGGATGGGAAGCGAAACGTCTTCAAACTTGGAAACAAGCAAAGGGGATTGTTTTTTAAACTTTTGGGAAGTTTTGCATCAAACTTGTGCCTACCTTTGTCACCGTGAGGACGATGTCAGTGGAGGTGATGAACTTGTTTGGAGTCCCGTGCAGTTTGTATCCCACCACCTCAGGCAGCACCATGCTTATTGGCTGGCCCAGCATCACAGCCTCCGCCTCAATGCCTCCCACACCTGAGCATCACAGGATGACTTCAGTTCAGCAACGACTCATCCAAAATCGATTTAAAGTACTTCTTAAGCATTAAGTGCTGCTTTTTGTAGGACAGGTAACAGCGCGTCCATTTTGGTAATGCCGCCAACCTGCCGCGCAGCGGTATATACATTCTGCATGACCACAGATGGACCATGTCAGCAGCGGCAGGACGGTACTGCACACTGAACTCTGACAAACCCTGCTCTTCCAGCTATGCTTCTTTGCCAGCTTAGCTTCTTCCTGCTCTCGCTACTTAATAAACTATATGTGGCTGATCATCGTCTGCCAAGCGTAAAATATTCCTTTTGTCTAGCTATCAAGATTTTATTTCTTCCAGTTCGCTAAATGCCTCATCCAAGGAAAAATAGGATTCGGTCTGTTCTTGCCTTTAAATCTTACACACCAGGGCTTTAAACATGGCTGATGCTGCAGAACATTGTTCTGATTCAGAAGAGATAAAAAGGCATCAGGATATACTTCTTTGTCAAATTTCTAAGAGAAAGAAAAAACTAAATGAATTAAATTCCATCCTGTTCAATAAATAATAAGTGTTTTTAATTAAGAGTAATTTTGATTTGAATGTGCTTTACTGGAGGCATCCATGTTTGTCAAAGAACACTACTGCCACCTACTGGTTAGTGACGTCACGGTGCGGTATCTGCTGTTGATCAAGTCCCAGTGCTGTATCTGGTGTTTGTCACAACGCGCTATTATGCAAGTCATCTTGAAAACATTCTTCTTCCAAATGTTGGCTACATATTACGTGTTTTTTCTCTGGCCAGAAGTTCGATGGCAAATCCTCCCTCTTCAAGTTGGCGATCCAACGACCAACCCGTCCGTGGAGGATCAGGAATCGGAAAGGTGGAATAATTTTTCACTTTTACCCGATGTATTCCAGCATCCAGCTGCCATGCACGTGGGCATTGTCAGTTTCACTATAGCTCTGGTGAATTTCAATGGTGAAGTCCTCTGGAAATCTTCAATAATTGTTGTTGATTGCAGATGTGTCTAGTAGTTCCCATTGATTTTGCTTGTAAAGCGGGGAGAATGGCGCTAGGCTTACCGCACCGTGACGTCACTGCTGGAAGATGGCAGGAGGGAGGGGCTACTATATTTGGGCAAAAATGGCCGACCCCAGACTCAGTGATTGTGACGAAAATTATTATTATTATTTCTTTTACTGATTAACGCTAAATTCATTAAATCACCGAGACGTATTAGTTCTAGGTATGAATAATGATCCATTGATAATTCATTGCTGACCGGAATTTTCCTTTAAGAAAAAGAGTCTTCACATGAATCTGCAGTAGGAGCTCTGGAATCAAACGACAGGCAAAGATCTGGATCAGTGGTTTAAATAGAAAAACAAACAGATAAAGGTCTCACCCCAGCCCAGAACACCCAGACCGTCGATCATGGTGGTGTGGGAGTCTGTGCCCACCACGCTGTCTGGGTAGCAGAAGCCGTCGTGATTAAACACCACCTGGGCCAAATACTCCAGGTTGACCTGGTGAACGATTCCTGAGCCAGGAGGAATGATCCTCATGTTCTTGAAGGCCTTGGAGCCCCACTGTGAGAAAAACAGAGGCGATAACAAAACCCGCCGTTTACAGCGGGACAGACAGAGAGAAGCTTAGGAGTATTCACACCTTCAAAAACTGGAATCTCTCTCTGTTCCGGTCAAACTCCAGATCCTGATTTTTCTGAAGGCTGTCGGCCCTGGAGGACGAAGCAAACAACAGATGAGGGATGGCCGAAGGACGCAGACCAGCGACGACGGCTGGGCGGTCTTACTTCCTGTTGAAGTCCACCTGGATGGAATGATCGATGACGAGGTCAGCGGGACAGACGGGGTTGATCTTCTCTGCGTCTCCACCTAGTTTCTTCACAGCGTCCCTCATGGCCGCAAAGTCCACCACAGCAGGAACCCCGCTGCAAAGAAACGAGTCAGTCAAAGCCGGGCAGCGCCGCCAGTTTAACTAAAAACTCAGTAACAAGGATTAAAGCAAAAAAAAAAAAAAAAATCACTCCAGTGTTGTAATGGTGCAATGTGTTTGCTCATTGGCTCAGAAGGCTAATTGATTGTGCAATCATGTTCACACATCTGAAAACAGTTTAGCTCGTTACAGAAGCTACAAAACTGACCTTCCTTTGAGCAGATTGAGTTTCTGGAGCATCACATTTGTGGGGTCAATTAAATGCTCAAAATGGCCAGAAAAAGAGAACTTTCATCTGAAACTCGACAATCTATTCTTGTTCTTACAAATGAAGGCTATTCCATGCGAGAAATTGGAGGAAAGGAGGCCTCTGATTGGTGAATTCCACATTCGCTCTACACTATGCAACTAATGTAACTAATGGCAGAAGCTCTGGCTGTATAGCCGTCCACAACGCCTGGCACACCTCGGACACTATCCCAGACATCGTGCAGGACGCTAGTTTGTAGCTCTGTGCGACGGTCTGTTGGTTTGCACCCGAAGCCAAAACACGCAGCGCCACGGCCAGTCTTTGGGGAACACTCACGGGTGAACTGTGTGTCGTCCTGCGTTGGATGAGGGGTTGCAGACGGCGAACAAGCTTGTCAAACCGCCACACGGACACCCACAATCCTAGCTAGTTCATGATTGTCCCTCTGGTGTTGTAGCGTGGCCAGACAACGCTTCAAAATTGGGCATAAATCAAAAATGTCTGCGTCATACCCTGGACACACTGCGGGAGTATACACAGCCTTTAAGGAGATGACGCTGATGCGCTCTTTGTTATCTTAGAACTGAGCCAGAACTGAACAACGCTGAGCCCTACTGATGAACTAATACCAGTTTAGCTCAGTTCGGTTCAGTTGTGTGTACCATTTACACTCAACTGTTATCTGGGTTACCGTGCTCGGACCGATCTCGGTGCGGTTTCAAAAGGCTAGTGGAAATGGGCTTTATGGAACCTGCAATCTACAACAAATTCCGAACCGGAAACCCAACTGTAGCTAAAAATTCCATTAGTTGATTAAATTATTCTTCGCCCTGATAAGATGCAGTCAAAAAAAAAAACATTTTAAAGCCTTAAATTATTACTTAAATAACAGAGAGTCTAACTAAAGTACAGAGTCAATCTGAGTCTATTATTCATTCGCACCGCTGCTCTCTTCCTCCCACAGCGCTACAGCAGCGGAGGCGGGACCTACGTGAAGTCTTGCAGGATGACACGAGCCGGCCTGAACGGCACCTCCACACTCCGGCTCTGGGTTTCCTTCCAGTTCAGGATGTTTTCCACATCCGAGCTCTTGACTAGAAACTCGTCACAGTTTCGAATGGCCGATTCCAGCAGGATCCGGATGGAGAACGGCAGACTCTCTGAGGAGAGACGACCACAATCAGAACTCAGCAGATCTAACGGGTTTTTATGTCACCTTGCAACCAAATACCAGTCGGCCGTTACCGTATCTGGGATCTCCGAGCTTCGGCAGGTTGAAAAACTTCTGGCTTGGTGCCTCTGGGCTGAGAGGCTCCACTATATGCTGAAAAGGATTATTTCCTGCTGCAGACATCTTCCCCTGTGTGGAGCCAATGATCTTACTAAAGACAGAAACATTCAATACGACTTTTATTAGCATTGTAAGCAGGAGTGGAGTTATGAAATTCAGGGCCCTAGGCAAAGGTATACAGGGTGCCCTCTGCATTGAGAAGATAACACATAGAATAGACCAATTCTACAGATAGAGAAATGTTAATAGAATAGACATCCATTATCTGTTCTACATTTTGTCTCTCTCTTCTTCTTGTTTTCCTCTCTATGTTTTGTACTCAGCTGACTTTTCATGCTGTCTCTAAAAGAATGAAAGATTTTTTCCAAGCACTAAGCTCACTTAGCTGATTGCTCCTTCCTGTGTTTCCAAAAAGGCCAAAGTAAATAACCCAGTCCTTCTTTTCACTGTAGACAAGCCATGATCTGCTTATCTGTTCTCCATTTTTCATTTGGATGAAATAATAGCTGCATGAATCATGACAGCAGACAAGATAGAGGAGAGCAGGAGGCGGGGTTACCAATCTACTCGCTCTGGAGAGCAGAGTTTGCCGCTTTTAGATGTTGTCTCCAAAGTCTCCAGAAGAAGAAAAAAAGTCGCTAGATTTGGCGCTAGGAGCTAAGTTGGTAACTGATCTGTATTTATTCACTTGATTGCCATTAGCCTTAAAAAAAAAGTGAAGCCACTGTCCATCATATTGGTACTTTCACAGTCAGTGGATGAACTAATCAATAAATCCATCTATACTAGGGGTGGAACGGTTCACAAAATCCATGATTTGGTTCGGTTCACGGTTTTGTGGTGACGGTTTTCGGTTTGGTTCGGTATATGTTGATTGTTACACCGAAATCCCATAAAAATTAATGTAATTAATGAAAAAATCCAAAAAAATTTATGAATTGTAATTATTTTTAATGATCCGCGGAAACCCTAGATCATTTCCGTATGTTTTGCTGCTTTGAATTTAATCATCTGGCGCATGCCCTCTACCATCTCCAAGGGACTCAGAGCGGAGCGGACGGGAGCCACAGCGGAGGCTGTAGGCTTTGCTTTGTGCAGGCGGTCTGGAGCACAGCGGGGCGGAGCGGAGCATGGTGGAGTATGAGGGATTTCGGGGTTAGCATGACATGTTGGTCATGTTGCTGTTAGTGTAAACAAATGGTGTTGCACAATGCTTGCACACTGTTGCACTTTTATCCACAACTTTCTTTCCGCCGTCATCGTAGGTCACTCTAAATGCAAAGTGGTCCCATACAGCAGACCTATAAAGTGCTGCTGGCGCGTCTTCCAACTCCTGTTCTTTCCCACTCGCCATACCCACACAATTCTCCACAACAACTGATTTTTTTCTGCTACACCCAGCTAGGCTGCTTCTCTTTTTCTTGTTTACTACTGATGGTTGGCTTTGGTCACAGTACCGCCACCTGCTGCCCTGGAGTGTAATCGCTTCGCCTATGAGAAAAAGGAGCAGCACATGAACCGAACGGTTCGGACGGTTTTCATAAACCATTCCATCCCTAATATATACGCCGATGGATCCAATAGTAAAGCATGGAGCGTAACATTAGACTGGCTATCTCAGACTGACTGGAAGATATTGACTAAATTAGTCATTGAAACTATGTCTAACGTTAGAAAATAGAAAGTAATTCACTGTGAAATGTCAATGTAGTAATTTTTTATTAAGTGGATGATGCTGTCATTCCTGTAGTGTTTTTTTGTATTTCACATTTGAAATGGTTAACTGAACCAAGCTTGGTCTGAACTGCATATATATATATATATATATACAGGTGCTGGTCATAAAATTAGAATATCATGAAAAAGTAGATTGATTTCAGTAATTCCATTTAAAAAGTGAAACGTGTATATTATATTCATACATTACATACAAACTCATATATTTCAGATGTTTATTTTGTTTAATTTTGATGATTACAAATGACAACAAATGAAAATCTCAAATTCATCATATCAGAAAATTAGAATATTGTGAAAAGGTTCAAAATTGATGGCCCCTGGTGCCACACTCTAATCAGCTAATTAACTCAAACCACCTGCAAAAGCCTTTAAATGGTCTTTCAGTCTAGTTCTATAGGCTACACAATCATGGGGAAGACTGCTGACTTGACAGTTGTCCAAAAGACGACCATCGACACCTTGCACAAGGAGGGCAAGACACAAAAGGTCATCGCTAAAGAGGCTGGCTGTTCACAGAGCTCAGTGTCCAAGCACATTAATAGAGAGGCGAAGGGAAGGAAAAGATGTGGTCGAAAAAAGTGTACAAGCAAGAGAGATAACCGCACCCTGGAGAGGATTGTGAAACAAAACCCCTTCAAAAATGTGGGGGAGATTCACAAAGAGTGGACTGCAGCTGGAGTGAGTGCTTCAAGAACCACCACACACAGACGTATGAAAGACATGGGTTTCTGCTGCCGCATTCCTTGTGTCAAGCCACTCTTGAACCACAGACAGCGTCAGAAGCGTCTTGCCTGGGCTAAAGAGAAACAGGACTGGACTGCTGGTGAGTGGTCCAAAGTCATGTTCTCTGATGAAAGTAAATTTTGCATTTCCTTTGGAAATCAAGGTCCCAGAGTCTGGAGGAAAAGAAGAGAGGCACTTCATCCACGTTGCTTGAAGTCCAGTGTAAAGTTTCCACAGTCAGTGATGGTTTGGGGTGGCATGTCATCTGCTGGTGTTGGTCCATTGTGTTTTCTGAGGTCCAGGGTCAACGCAGCCACATACCAGGAAGTTTTAGAGCACTTCATGCTTCCTGCAGCTGACCAACTTTTTGGAGATGCAGATTTCATTTTCCAACAGGACTTGGCACCTGCACACAGTGCCAAAGCTACCAGTACCTGGTTGAAGGACCATGGTATCCCTGTTCTTAATTGGCCAGCAAACTCTCCTGACCTTAACCCCATAGAAAATCTATGGGGTATTGTGAAGAAGAAGATGCAATACACCAGACCCAACAATTCAGAAGAGCTAAAAGCCACTATTAGAGCAACCTGGGCTATCATAACACCTGAGCAGTGCCACAGACTGATCGACTCCATGCCACGCCGCATTGCTGCAGTAATACAGGCCAAAGGAGGCCCAACTAAATACTGAGTGCTGTACATGCTCATACTTTTCATGTTCATACTTTTCAGTTGGCCAACATTTCTATAAATCCTTTGTTTTTATTGGTCTTCAGTAATATTCTAATTTTCTGATATGATGAATTTGAGATTTTCATTTGTTGTCATTTGTAATCATCAAAATTAAACAAAATAAACACCTGAAATATATGAGTTTGTATGTAATGTATGAATATAATATACACGTTTCACTTTTTAAATGGAATTACTGAAATCAATCTACTTTTTCATGATATTCTAATTTTATGACCAGCACCTGTATATATATATATATATATATATATATATATATATATATATATATATATATATATATATATATATAACATAAATATATTAATAAAGTTATTCAATCACTGGATAGTGCATGTGTGTGTTTGTGTACTTGTATGTATAATGTTTTCAAATGATCAGATGTAATTATCAGAACAATGTAATCAATAATAATAATAATTAATTTTTCACTTTTGACACATCTGTATTATTCTGCTTCGTTAATAGATTCATTTTATTGTGATGGATTTGTATAATATGTTATATTACATGATTTATTAACTTCATTGACTTTTTAATGACTATGCAATGTGATGGGCCTTTTTATTTTATTTTATTATAAGTTAAAGTTAATCTACTGATGCAATGAAACAGCCAGTCTGTGTCAAAGCGATGAATTTATCTTTATATTAAATGTCCTCCTGAAAATGTCCCCCTGAAAATGAGAACATCATCGTTGTTCGATGCTGTAGGGCACTGATTGTTTACATTGCGACCGGTCTAACTAGGGAATACCAATATGGTGGCCGGTGGCTTCACTTTAACCCTGTACTACCAACAGGCAACCAGCAATCCAGTGAATAAATAGAGATCAGGAAACACTGCTCTTTATATTGTTTTCAAATGGTTTGCTGCTGTCTGTTTGGACCTTTCTGAACATGTGCAGCAAATGGACTGATCCAATATGGTGGACACTGAATAATATTATCAGCTTTCTGATGGCATTTTAGTGAAAGGATTTTTATCAAAAACATAATTAATGTGCACAAATAAGGAATAGTTGTCTTAACCATACATGGAAACAAAGTTTTAATGGGGCCCCCAGTAACTTGAGGCCCTAGGCAACTGCTTAGTATTGCCTAATGGTACCCCCCCACCCCCCCTGCACACATGCAGAGCAGGAAGTCTGGAGTCTGAAGGGTTTAATCCACAGAGTGAGAACTTCTTCACAGCATGTAATGGATTAGGTAAACCCACAGAGCACCCACAGGGTAAACCAGGGGTCACTGAACTCCCTGTTTCATAATCTGCTCATAACCGAACTTCTTTACCAATCTGTGGAAGCTTTAAAAGGGGAAAACCAAATAACTCTTTATCTCTGGATCACAGTCAGGAATAGGAAAGTCAGATTTCAGGCTCTGCAACATGTTTCCTGGAACAGAGGCGTTGATCTGGGTAAAGTTGACCAGATAAGAAAAGAGCTGCGTCTGTATACTAATATAAAGAGCTATACTAATATAAAGAGCTAAACTTATTAATCCCGTCATGAATATAACATCAATATTGATCCCAGCAACCAACATCAACATTCATTTATCGCATTAATGCCGTTTTTTCCCCCCTCAGAGCTCCGATTTCTGCTCCACTCAGAAGCCGAGGGGCTTCCATTCACCATTTAACACTCCAGCTACTTAGCATTAGCACCTTAGCATTAAAATATTAACAAACACCGACAACTGCACAGTATTAATACAACAGCTACATCTCCACAAAACGAGCATAAACTGTTGTTATAAGGAAAGGTAAGCTAACCTAGCCTCAGCGGTTCCGGTTAAATGAGGCATAAAAACCCTGCAGTAGATGAAAAAGGTACTTTGGACATAAAAAAATGTTTTACTTAAAGATTTATGATGG